AGGCTTGTGTTGGGTCGACACTGGTGGCTTCAAAACGACTTGTATTGTCAACGATGGCTGCGTTACCTCATGATTCCTTCTTTTCGTTTTCCTCCATGCTTTCAACTATGACTAGTCCTAAATAACCTTGTGGCCATGTGCCAGAGACACTGGGCAAGTCTCAATATTTTCCTACAGTTCGCCAAACATGACGAAGCTCTGTGTTTCTGGGGCTGCCTCATTACGCATCAAAGCAGCTTCTTCTACGAATCGTGGATTACAAAGCTATACGTGAACTAATTGAATAACATCGTAACAGCCAAATTGAACGCCTCAAGTCGATGAGACAGGGTTGTCTTGTTCTATCTTGGTTGGTATGCAGCGTGCAAAACAAGCCGCTACAAGAACCGAGACATTTTTCACAGGGCATTAGGAGAAAAATTGAAGTCACCTCCTTACCATGCAATATGCACCCTGATTGGTATAAGAGTCGGATACGGGCAAAAGTTCAAGCTATAATGCGAGCCGTAGGCGATGGTACATCTAATACACGACTGCTTCACACTCATGTGGCCCAATATCCACAGAAATGGGCTGTGTATCTCGTTGTAGAAGACAATACAAACGCTATCAGCTACGCTTAAAGCATGAACAACGGCGCGGCAAAAGAGGCTGCTATCATCCTTGCTATCATACACGCTTCACAAATACCAGCACCAGATGAGCCAATCACTGTGGTTACTGTACTGATTGACAAAGCACATGTCACAATATTGCCAATGAAATGGTCACACCCTACTTACACCATATGCTGACATTTGTACATTCCTCTGGGTTACACTGGGTGCTTATTGTCTGAACACCTGGAGCCTCCTCTCTCCGTGGTAATGAATGCGTTAATGTGGAAGCTCGAGAGCTTACGAACCAGGCCCAGTCGGAAGAACTCTCTCACCCAGACAATGCGCCGAACAAAGTATTAAGCTACAATGACACTCTACAGTATTGCCGATAAAGATATATTCTCTTCGTGCCACCACACAAATCACTGAACCGAGAGGACGCGGTAGCCTGGTGGCAGTTTCAGACCAATTCATTCCCCAGTTTCTACTTCCTTTATCTCTTTCACCCTCGCAATATCCTTCATAGTGCCTTTATTTTGGAGCGAAACCAATGGTATATCACTGCACCTGGGAATGCCCACAACCACCAGACTACCACCCGATTCCTTCACCATCACAATCTTCTTGGGAGACTGCGCTGACCAACTCAGAACTGCAGGATCAGTGCCGGCTGATCCATTGGGTACGTGGTGTGGCGCGAGCCAGTGGGGCCCTGAACTAAGGGCTCCTGCCGCCCAAAGAGAACGATTCTTTCAGCCTGCATGAATAAAAGTTTTTTCATTGATTGATATGATTGATATGGGGGTATTAAGGTCCCAAAACCACCATATCATTGTGAGAGACGCCGTAGTGAAGGACTGCGGAAATTTGGACTACTTGGATGCACTGAAGCAGAGCGGCCGGCGCATTGACGACGCTTGCGCTCGGCTTCCTTGGCTCGCATCTCGCCGGTGTTCCCGCGCGCCGTCTCCATTCTCGAACGCAATCGAGTGCATGGACGCATGCACGAACGAATGAATGGACGGACGCTCCACTCATTATTATTCACTCTGTAGACATGCTGTGATTTTCTCTTTCTCCCTTTCTCTCTCTCTCCTTTCCTGTTTCTAGAATGCTTGGTGATAGTTGAAGTCTTGCGCTCTACGTAAGACCAAGCTGCCTCTTCGGAGCGTTAAATAGAAGTGGCACGTCAACTGTAATGACGACGTCATTCTGATGCAGAAGGGTAGGGTAGACAAGAAATAAACAAGTTTGATGAGATACCTTCATTGCTTGATTCGCTTTAAATGGAAAAGAAATATGTCACCACAAACCATCCTGACTTCACAAAATGAACATAGTGAGGGCTGAATTAAATTGAGGCCACTTGCGTAAAATAAAAAGAATTCATTAGAGGAAACAAAACATAATTTTAAAAAAGGAAAATGAAGTAGCAAATAAAAAGAAAAAAATGGCAGATCCCACGTACAAGGGGAATCGATGCTATGCGATGCCGGAATCAGAACTGTTGATAAGTCACTTTAACATAAGCACAACGTTACGAGGTAAAGGTAAATGAGGCCGTAAATGTCTTCCATGTCATGATCATAATGTTTGGATGTGTCGTTTACCTTCGTCATCTATTCACATCACGTGATACCAAATTTATTATATGTGAAGCTAGCGAAACGGCCGCGAGCACGCCATGAGCGTGGTATGTTGTCATGTTCTCACATGACGCGCGTGTCAGGATTATCATGTTTGCACCAGTCATATATTTTGTCATCCATTGACGTTACGTAACACCAAATTTGGTATATGTGGAGCTTGCGAAAGAGCCCGCCAGCGCATCATCAGTGTGGCATGTAGTCATGTTGTTACATGACACGTATATCATGATTATAATGTTTGGATGTGTCATTTACTTATGTAGTCTGTTCGCGTCACGTAATACCGAGTTTGGTACATGTGAAGCTAGTGAAACAGTCAAAAGCGCATCGTGAGCGTAGCATGTTGTCATGTTGTTACATGACACGCATCTCATGTTCATCATGTTTGCACCAGTATCAAACCTTCGCCATCCATTCACGCCCCGTAACACCAAATTTGGTATGAGTGAAGCTAGCGAAATGGCCACCAGCGCCTCATTAACGTGGCATGTAGTCATGTTTTTACATGACACTCATCTGAGGATTATCATGTTTGCACCAATCACATACCTTCGTCATTCATTCACGTACTGTAATACCAAATTTGTATATTTGAAGCTAGCGAAACGGCCGCAAGGGCATCATGAGCGTGGCATGTAGTCATGTTGTTACATGACACCCATGTAATTGTTTTCATGTCAGGGTCTGTCACTTGTGTTCGCCATGCAGTCATGCCATACTATACCAGTTTCGCAACATGTCATGTGAACGAAAGCATCGCAAGTGCTGCAGGACCATGAAATGTAAATCGTGACATTCATGACATACTTTTTATGATTTTCATGTTATGACTAGTAAAATATGTTCTTCATACAGTCACGTTATGCCATACCAAGTTTGGTATTGATAACATTATCTAAATGGTCAGGAGAGCTAAAAGACGTAGATAGATAGATAGATAGATAGATAGATAGATAGATAGATAGATAGATAGATAGATAGATAGATAGATAGATAGATAGATAGATAGATAGATAGATAGATAGATAGATAGATAGATAGATAGATAGATAGATAGATAGACAGACAGACAGACAGACAGACAGACAGACAGACAGACAGACAGACAGACAGACAGACAGACAGATAGATAGACAGATAGATAGATAGATAGATAGATAGATAGATAGATAGATAGATAGATAGATAGATAGATAGAGAGATAGATAGATAGATAGATAGATAGATAGATAGATAGATAGATAGATAGATAGATAGATAGATAGATAGATAGATAGATAGATAGATAGATAGATAGATAGATAGATAGATAGATAGATAGATAGATAGATAGATAGATAGATAGATATGCTCAAAGTCGTCGAAGATTGCTAAAAGATGCTTCACATTTAAAATACGAATAAAAGCAAATACAGGGCACCAACAGAAAATGAAAGAGTAGAAAAACTGATTTCACTTTCTACTCGGGCAATCCCCACGATTGTGTATATGCCCCGTCTGGACAAAAACCGCAAGAACATTAGTTCTGTTTCATCAGCCTTGACAACGTGAAGTAAGTCAAGACATGTTTATTTCAGCAGACGTGATTCCAGAATTTAACGTTACAATTACCCTGATGTGTTCTTTATAAGACGTATATACCTGTCTCTTTATTGTGGTTTCTACGTAACGGACATTGCGCCCTTCAATGCGATTGAACCGTGCACTTGTTAACTTGTTCACTTTTTTACTTGTTGATGTGTAGTTTTCTCCCCCACTCTGTTTTTCTGTCATCTCATTTTAGTGCTATTGTCAGTGATGTGGCTATGAATTTTCACTTCTGTTATTTATAAACATAAAATTTGCTTGCCCAACTTCAGCAATCGTAATTATTACTAAGTCGGCATTAAAAACCCCTAAGTTTTCATTACTCAGCATTGCTGCTGATCTAGCAAAACATACCTGGTTTTCGCTGGGCGAGTTGGTCCTGCAGACTTGAATAAAAAATCTTTGTGTTTTACACAATAATATTTAGAACTGACAGTCAATATTGCCAAAAAAGTACACGGAATGTTGTTTGTTGTATATGTATTGTGACTGTCAAATTTGAAAAGTGAACGAAAATAATTTTCCGCTGGCAGGGATGGTGACTCTCGAATAATCAAGACCCCCGAATAGCACGTCCGATGCTCTACCTACTGATCTAGCACAGCGGATATTACCCCGTCTTCTTTACGGGGTATATATGTGCATTTAAATGTGAGAGCGCCAGTCGGCGTGGTCAGTAGCAAATTATATTTTCTTAATAATAGTATGTCTAGTGAAAAACGAGTCCTTAAAATTTTCAATTTTCGCCTTGTTTGGTTTTGTCCTCTTCATTGAATTGTGCACTCTTGTTCAGTTGCCCAGATTGTTCGCTTGCACTTTTGTTCGCTTGCCCGATATCGCTTGCCCAGATTACTTTCGCGACATGATGATGTATTGGCTGAATCCTCAGTGGCAGTCTAAAGGGCCTTCGTGTCTGTTTGGATTGTTAATTTGTCCTTTCATGCATGATATCCCTCTTCAGGTGGTTGCTAAACAAGCTAGCTTCAAATTCTGTACCTATTAGCCATGTCTCACAAGAAATACAAACATTCACCGCTTGCTGCAGGTTTAGTGGCAACATTGCGTCTGCTTCAGTAGTTTTCTATCACCATGAACTGATTCTGGCGATTTTCCTCAAACAATAGCGAGAATACATGCACAAATCTACTTCACCGAGAGCACACTTTTATCAGCCGAAGTTGTTTATCATCCTCATCATATGCTTCAACAGGAATCACGCATGCTAAAATGTCTATCAGAAACATTCGTACGTCGTTTGAAGCTGTGAACGAACGAAAATATTTTGGGAATGAGCACGTGGAGGTACATCACATATCGCAATATTGTCATTCATAAATGTTCACGTTCTTTCCGAAGAGTAGCCCACATCACTGAGCCGCAAGTATCCGCGCACTCTTCGCCAGCAGTCCTCGTTCAGGTCACACAGCTGCGCTGTCTCTTCCTCCCGCCACTGGCATGACACTCGCCGGCTGACGACACCAGCGAGCCTCATGAACTCGTGCATGCCTTCTAGCAATTTGACCGCATTTTTGATCATAAGAATGGCGTCCCTTTTGGGAACCGAGGAAAGCTCGGCGACTTGTTCCGGCAGGGCGGGATGAAGGTGCATCCATTCCAGTGCTTCAGCACATGCCCTGTAAAGGTTAATTTTGTTAGATAAGACAAAGTATGTTTGTTTTCCACGATGAGATATTGTGTACGTTATTTTATGCCCCCCCTCCCCCTTAGCATCTCTGTATTTAGTACCGTAACATAAAAAATGCAATATGCACTTTCAACTTTTGACAAAAAAAATTGTAGGAATGACGCTACAAATGGCCTAACATAAAATTGTGCTGTTCACTCAGATACGTACTGCAGAGAGTGGATTCAGAAGCTTGAACGTAGAAGATTGTGTGGGCTGATTGGTGAACTTAGTACACGCACTCGAATGAAATGTACTGGTGCACGTCGCGTCAAGGTGAACATCGTTTCAGGGCGAGATGAGCAGTGAGTAATACACGGACGTGTATAATTGCCTAGTTCAAGTCTTACGAACTTTCAATCGTGTAAAAAAAACTCAATTCCGACTCCCCACTATACATTGTTAAGCTGGAAACGTGCATTTTGTTTGGAAAGCTGTTATAATAGTGAGCTACGCCACGCGTACTCACCGATCACATCGAGTTCCACTAACGAATAGAGAAGCGTGCCTGAGACGCCCAGAATTACGCCGCATGACGTCCCAAACAATAAACCAGTTCCTCGCCAACTCCTTGTCATCCAGGGTAACGTCGACGACAACAGCGAGTAACGTGAGATTTTCCCTGATGTTTTCGGCTAAAACCCGGAAAAAGTCGTTCGCATCAAGGGATCTTTCGGGCACAAAGTACACACGCTGCATGTTTTTGTTGGACTTGACAGCCTGTGCGAGAATCTTGGTGTCTTGGCCTTCTATATTGGGCAACTTAACGTGCAACTCCTCGACGCTTCCATTCCGAGACATTGATGTAACAATTTCAGCCCAAGACTTGCTCCCCGGGATCTCTTGAGAAGGCTCGCAAAACAAGGATAGGTGTAGCTTCTTCAGGGTGGTCGAGTGCCTGATGTAGTCGGCGATCTGCGAAGACATCGGCGCGTCTATAGCGTCCATCGAGATTTCAAGATGAACCGATGTGATGTGACTTGCAGTTGGCAACTTGTGCAATATACGTGAGAACTCGCTTCTGGTGTCACTTCGCAGAGGTGCGAATATTTCAGAAAATCCCTTGTACTCCAGCATATCGGCGTTGCTTGGAGGAAAGTTTGTTTCGAAGAATACTCGCTGTTCGGCGCCAGGCCTTTCTGAGCACGCTGCACACTATAGGTAGAAGGTGGTATTGCGTGACGCTCCACTCGATGGTGATCTTTAGATTTGCTTTCGTCGGCAGTGCCTGGAATATAGACTCCCACTGTTCCAATTTTCCAGCGCACAAGGGCAGCCTGACTGCGTTCAGAGTTCGGTTAGATTTCAGCGCTTCCACCCAGTCCTCATTGGCCGTATCGTCATGTACTTCAATGTCCCTTCTCGTGGAAATCATGCTAAAACTGCTTATTGTTTTGTTTCTGGCGAAAATAAGTGCTATAATTCTGGAACTCTGGCTATCGACTGACAAAGTTTGTCAGGCTGACCCTTGTAATTGTGTGGTTTTCCAACAGACCTTTCAGAATCCACATTAGAGAATCGTTGATTTTGCTACAAGCCATGATTTCCAGACTTTTTAGAGTTGTATTCTTCCTCAAGTAATCCGTGAACCCAGATCGATTGGACAGCGATGCTTCACCTATAAAAGACTCGTCTAGTGAGAGCTCTTTGAGGGTGCTGTTCTGCACAAGCGCTTTCAGGAACGCTGCCACGCCGTGGTTTTTGATGCACACCATAGGCATTCGCAAAGCCTCCAGGCACGTCGTTGTTTAGAATGAGCTCTGACAGGACATCTAGAAATGCCACAGGACACTTCCACGCCGTGGGACACTCCAGTTCTTCCAATGTGTGCAAGGAAGAGATTAGCCTGCAGATGTCTTCTTGCGTTCTCCTAGCGGCGAAACGGGGATGATGAATCCTTAGTACTTTCACAAAAGTATTTCCCCAAAGCTCGTCGACGAGCAGAGCGAAATTCTCTTGGTTCCATCGCCATGACGCAGATGTCAAGAGTCGCCACGCAGCGGTGAGTTTTTACTAGCCAGCAGGCTAGCGTGATGGCTTTTCGCGTCGTTCGTTCATCCTGACTTGGTACCCACGGCTTTTCGAAGCTGACCAGGGAGTGTTCTCCTCGTGCGCCCGACGATTCTCGCAGCTCGAGTCGACACTGGCAAAGAAACTCATTCTATACTGACAGCTTGCGGGCGATGCGACACGTACAGCCCTCGGATGCCGTGCACGGCTCGCACGGCTCCATGATAGAACCGGTGAAGCACCCATGCGCTCCTCGTACATTTGTCAGCAACGTGTCGGAAGAATGCTCGGACGGTTGTCCGCATACTTTTTCAAGCATATCATACCCAGTGCGCTGATGTTCCGCCATATTGCCTGCACCAAACAGAACATTTATTTGTGCGATCAGTTCTCACTATTTCATGCATACATATCACGTATGGTTTGTACACGGAGAGGTTTCAGAAACAAATACAATCCATATTTGAATGTTGTAGCCCTATACAGCTCTCAAAAAATGATTTCCCAGTCATTCCACTCATTATTAGAATATCGTACCCTGACATAATCCGAAGACTGACATAACTATTAAAAATTCCCGGAAGACGAAACATATCACAGCAGGTGCTTTTGCATGCCATGGATCACCGGTTATGACCCAAAACCCGAGTAAGATCTTTTAGTGGACTACCGCAGATAAAAAGACAGTATTTGTGTGCAGCCAACCACTGTACCGGAGTTATGAGCGATGGTTCATTTGCAGGAGAAAATCTCACACAGGAAGTGAGTGGAGTTGACACAAAAATCTCTGGTACACATCCATGCTGGGGGATTAGCCAAGAGCCGAGCAGTTCTTATATTGAAATTCTGTTATAAAAGGTTAAATTTGGTTTATTGTCATTTTTGTACTGCTGTTAGTTATTTCTTTTTTATGCAGAAATAATAATAACAATATAATATTAATAACAATAATAATGCTTTATTCTGGAATGTGTACACAACAGTTACATGCCACCAAGAAGAGGCAAAAGGAAACAGACGAAACTGTTTCCTGACCAGGCCTACATCCCGGATCGTGAACAAAAAAAAAACAGTTTCGTGAACAAAAAAAAACAAAAACAAGGACAGTGGTGAGGAAAGCGAAAAACATCCAGTACAGCACAATTCTTCAGCATCACTGTAGAGAAGTCATGGAATTTCAAGTAATTTCGCTATACAAGTACGAAAACCTATAAAAACCATTTCATGTTGATATGTCCATCAGAATAAAGTTGTGAATAAATTTAATGAATGAAGAGGTGCAATAGTATCCATCATAATTCAGAACTCAAGTGGAGCTATTGTGCGTAGCTTAACAATTGAAATGCAGTGAAGTACAACCTGGTGAACAAAAGTATACATCGCAAGTGGCAAAACATATTAGATCAAGCACTTCCTCCTGGATCGAAGAGTAATCTTACTTTCTTTTTAAAATGATGTACCTGATCTGCTTACCGTGATAATTCTACTACAGAAGGAAAACTGTTACATATATCTACTATTTGATGGTCAAGTGTTTGGGTACCATATTTGGTCTAGATCGTGCTGAAACAAGTGACGTCCTTCGTAAGTAATATTCAATGTGACGAGTGAGGTACATATTGCTGAATGAAGCAAAATCTTGTTTTGTGCCATTTGAAATAAGAACCATCACTTGAAGTTTGTAGCATTCAGTGAAACACGATACACGAAAAACAGAAAATAAATTGCTAGTGTCTATGTCTATCTGGCCTTTTAGTTATTAGCTGCAATGCTTTTTGTTGCAAGGTAATCAATTTTTGTGCATTGGTCCTATTACATATGCCCCAAACTAAGTTGCAGTATGTGAGGTGCAAATGAATGAGAGAAAAGTATAGCTGCTTTGCCACCGAATGTGGAAGAAGATGGTTAGTACGGCCTATAACACCAATAGATTCGGGCCATTTTCAGTTTTACATGACTCACGTGATCAGACCAGCTCAAGTCATTGCGGAAGTGTACGCCCAGAAACTTGCAGCTACTGGTACTATGTTATTTCTGAATTACCAAAATTGAGTTTTGGGTTGTGGTGTATTGCTTTGTTTTTAGCACGGAATAAAATGAAATTAGTTTTTTTCACGTTTAATCTCAGCTGATTTACCGTCAATCATCCCTCTAATTCTTCAAGCCAGCTATTCGCTCTCTGCTCAAGTTCTTTTAGGTTGGGACCAGAAAAGAAGATGTTAGTGTCATCGGCATATAGGATAATGTTCGAAGATGAAGGTATGTTTACAATATAATTTAGGTACACAGTGAATAGAAGGGGTCCTAATATTGATCCCTGAGGTACTCCATACTTTATTGTTCCGTAGTTAGAGCGAGTGTCGTTATGTAGCTTTGTGTATTGTCGACGTGCAGTCAGGTAGCTTTTAATAAGGGTTCTTGCAATGCCACGAGTTCCAAAAATTTCTTATTTTGCTAAGAGAATGTCATGTTGAACCAAACCAAACGCTTTACTGAAGTCGAGAAATAGTCCGATCGTAAAGTGTTTCATTTCAATGTTTCGAATTAAGACATTTTTATATAAAGCAATGCGGTTTCAGTCGATTTCCCAAGTTGAAAACCGTATTGATGATCACTTATCACAATATTTGCGGAAAGGAAGCCAAAGAAACGTGTATAAGTTATTTTTTTCAGCAACCTTAGAAAAAATTGGCAGAACTGAAATTGGCTGGTAATTACCGAATTCTGTTTTATTTCCACCTTTAAAGACAACAGTAACACGTGCTACCTTTAATCTATCTGGGAACACGCCAGTAGCCAACATGTGATTGAATATATAGGTTAGTGGGTCTATAAGGCAACTAATGGAATTTTCAATTGGCAAGGATGAGATGTCATCATCACCAGGAGCACAAGTATTTTTTTAGAGAATTAATAATGATTGTGATTTCTACTTCTGTTGTTGGCGTCAGAAATACTATCTCATAGTTGGAAATCTGAATGCATGACGTAAGAGAGGTATTATTAGGCAAGGGAATTGAGCCGGCATATTTACGAGCTTCCAGGAAGTGCTTATTGAATTTTTCGGCTAATGGAACACCTTCATAGATAATACCTTTAACCAGCATTTCGACGGGTGTTGTGTTAGCTTCGCTGCCGATGAGAGTTTTAATTCCTTCCCAGATCTGCTTAGGATTGTTACCTATGTTTGAAAACTTTTTCTGTAAAATGACGACTTTGCTTTTTTTAGGTCAGCATTTAGCACATAACGAAACTTTTTGTATTCAGCTAATATCTCAGAACTTCTCGTTTTAAAAAATTTAGCGAACATTGAGTTTTTTTTTCTTTTATTTCATAAAAAGAGCCTTGTTTATCCAATCTTCACGGGCCTTTCTGTATTTTCTAATTGCCATAACAAGAAAAGCGACATTGTAATGGTTAATAACCTTTATAATGAAATTTCCGTGCACTTCATTTGGATCGGTTGCATTGTAGACGTCTGTTCAATCTGTTGTTTTCAGCAACTCACAGAAAACAGCAATATTATTGAAATCATTCGTTTCACGTGAATGGATAGAGGTAGTTCGTTTTTTACTTAAAGGGACAAATACAAAGAACGGCAAGTGGTCACTCAAACCAGACGATAACACTCCGAAAAAAACCTGCGTCTCGAGAAAAGTTCGTGTATCAAAGATCTATTATTGTTGCTGTTGATTTGTTTACTCGTGTCGGGGACTCAATTGTATTTGTACAACCATACAGTAGCATTATTTTTGTTAAGGCCGCTTGAATCGGAGATCTACCCATAACATCACTATAAAAATCACCAAGTGCAATAACACGCCAATTATTTGAATTAGCATTATCTAAACATGTCTCAGTAAACTGAAGAAAGGCTTCTGTGTTACCTTGAAGTGGGCGGTACAGCGCAATGATAAAAATGTTCCGGTGTAACAGGCTGACACATTCGAAATCTTCGAAAAACACCCTTATAATCAGTCAGAATTTCAAAAGATAAGTTTTGGCGCGTGCATATAGTCACACCCCCACC